AGATAAAATAAACAATCAGACAGATAAATAAATAAATAAACCCAAGAAAGAAAGAGCCCACACACACACACACACAAACAAAAAAAAAAAAAAAGGAAAAGACTGAATAGCAATGTGGGAATCCATTCAGAAAGCATTAAGTGCCAATTGCAGAATATAAAATGGCATGTGCCCACGACTCCAAGCATGTCAACATTTGTCATCCTGTGGGCGCAGGCAGGAGCGAAGCAAGGAAAAATCACACGGTGGTTGGGAACATGATTTTCGCTTGTTTCATTTCATGTCATAAAAATGCAACGTTTGGTACCTTTAAATGTCGTTTTCTCCTAAGACATGAATGGGAGAGAGACAGAGACCGAGGAGGGACACGGCCCGTGTTCTTAGAGTCCACTCTGTGACAACTTATGGGCCCGGGGCTGCCCTTCCTGCTGCAGAACTCACCCAGAAGTCTGCAAACCTCACAGCCGCTCTCTCGGATTCTGAAGGGAGCATGCACTGCCCCTCCGCCCCCGACACTACAGCCTCCCAGGTGGCCACAGAGAGTCCACAGGCCACTATGCCTTGCAAGTCTTGTTTATTTGGTACCAGGTATTGAACCAAAGGACACTTAACCACTGAGCCACATCCCCAGCCCCTTTTTCATATTTGATTTAGAGACGGGGTCTCAGTAAGTTGCTGAGGCTGCCTTTGAATTTGTAATCCTCCTGCCTGGGCCTCCAGACCCGCTGGGATGACAGGTGTGCCTCACTGCACCTGGCTCCGAGTGGGTTTTGATATTTGGGGTTTTTTTATTTTTTGAGAATTTTCTGGTATCAAGGATTGAACTCAGGGGACTTAACCACTGAGCCACCTCCCCAGCCCGTTTTTATATTTTGTATTTTGATCCTGCCTCAGCCTCCTGAGTCACTGGAATTGCAGGCATACAATGCTGAACCCGGCCGCCACACGTTTCTTTACAAACTACCTGTAGGGAGGAAGGGGGGGGGGAAGTGCGGGGGAGTGATATCGGTCAAATCATATTGTTATATTGTGTATTGTGTGCATGTATGAATACATAACAGCAAATCCCATCAGGGTGTACAACTATAATGCACCAAGAAAAAACGTGGGGGGAGAAACCCTCCATGCAGGACTGCATCTCATAGACACACGCCACCCCACCCCCATCGCATGGTCCTGCTCCTACACACGGAGGGCCTGGAAGGATGACCTTCCTGTACCTTCCAGCAGTGACCGTCTCTGCAGGGGACAAGAGTCGTTCACACCCAAGACCCCCATGCTGGGAAGGACCCACAGCTGAAAGGGCGGAGCCCAGATTCCCGACAGCAGAGAAGACCCCGCCCAGTTGGCAGACTTGTATATGGTGAGATATATATTTGGTCCCCAGCCTCCAGGGAGCCAGAGAGGGGCTGAAGCTCACGGTGATCACCAACGGCCAATATCTCATCAATCGTGGCTGCGTAATGAAGCCACCCTCAAAACAGGGACGGGGTTCAGAGAGCTTGGATCGGACCCTTTGCAATGAACTGGCAAATGCAGGTGCTTCCCTGGGTTCTCTGAAGTATTCTAGCAAATGAGTCCAACCCAGAGAGGGGCTGTGGGGCCCCACCCATCAGAAGCCAGGTCACAACCTGGAGCTCACCTTTCACACCTGCAGTGGGAGGAGCCCTCACCCTGTGGGGCCTGAGGCTATCTCCAGATAGAGTGTCACAACTCAGGGAAATTGGAAGACACCATGCTGGTGTCCGAGGCAGAACTGACTCATGCTGATAGGGACAAATCCCCGCACACTTAGTCACAGAGTGCTCCATGTGGATTGCTGAGGGAAGAAACAACACGTTTTGTTTTGTTTGGTTTTGTTTATTTTCAGATAGACCCTTCATCTAAGCATCAGATTCATTTGTTCTCAGAAACCTCTGGCGGTACCCACAGCCTGCCCGGCCTGAGCTGAACACAGCCCTCTCTGAAATGTCTCTAAAACTGTAAAACGCCCATCTTTCCTCAAAATGCACGCTCCAGAAGGACAATAATGTCCACCTACATCGTCCCTTATATAGCATCTAGCAGGTAGCAGGTTAGTGACTTCTGTTGATGGGCCAATGGTGATTATTCAGCAAACCCAAGGGTCTGGCCTGGAAGGGCCCACTATTGCTAATCTTTTTCCCCTGTACTGGGGATTGACCCCAAGGATGCTTAACCCTGGGGCCACATCCCCATCACTCTTTATTTTTCCATTTTGAGACAGGGCCTTACTAAACTGCTGAGTCTAGCCTCCAACTTTCGATCCTCCTGCCTCAGCCTCCTGAGTCACTGGGATTTCACTATGGCATTTTTTTTTTCAAAATAAGTCCAAAAAGAAAAAAAAAACCAAATTCCAAACACCTTACACTCAAGTCCGATGCATAAAACAGAATTTAGGGCTGGGGTTGCAGCTCAGAAGAAGGCTCGCTTTAGCATGTGTGAGACACTGGGTTCGATTCTTGGCACCAATATAAATAAGGTTCATCGGCAACTTTAAAAATATTAAAAATCCCTGAGGATTGAACTGATACCCACCCCACCCCCCAACACACACACACACACACACACAAACAGCCTCAGAGACACTGTGGGACATAGATAGAAAGCAAGAATACACCTTAGAAGGGAACCCTTTGGAGTAACGCGCGGGCCATTCCCGGCGGGCCACCTTGGCTCGGGTAATCCTGAGAACCCAAGTCCTGGGGGAGAGGGCTCCTCACACCCCGGTCCACGTCAGGGAGACTCCTTCAGACCGGGTCCCCCTTCACGGGGCGGTAATGAATTTCTCGGGGAGGTTATTAGGCAAGGTCGCTTCTCCTAGTCTTTCAAGGAATTTCTGACTCCCTTCCAATGCCCCAGGGTTTGGGGATATTCCTGGCTCCCGCGTCCCCACGGAGGTCGTTAGTGGGGTCCTGTTAGGAAGTGGGCAAGACTCTCAGTAGATACCACCGGCATCGATGAGGATGGCTGGGGACCCTGCCAACGGGGCTGCCGTGGATGGCAGCCAGAGTCAGAAGCTGCTGAGAAGAGAGTCCGCCACTGGGAAGGGGAGCCTGCCCAGGAAGGAGCACAATTAACCGCCGTTCCTTTCTGCTGGCACAGAACCCGAATGCCTCCAGCCCTGAAGTCTCATGGCTTCCCTTCTCCACCTAGAGCCCCACTGTCTTCAAAAATGTCCTTGAAAGACACAGAATGGGCTGGACTTAAGAGCTGGAGGGAAGAGCGGCCACAGTGGGTGGTGCAGGTGGGGTCCCCTCCAGGAGCCGCAGAGACTCAGGAGAGACCTGCTGAGCAGAGTCGGGCGGCTTTCAGGACCACACAGAGTGGTCTCACTGGCTCTTAGAGAAGAAAGAGAATCGCTCTTAATTAGAAGATCAGTGAGTTGATTGTTTTTAAAAAGTCAGGGACTAGATTTCATTCTCTTATAGTTGAATTCCACCTCGATTCTTGGTTAAATTAAGAAATACACTAGTGTCAACAGGGCAGAGTGGTGCACGCCTGCAATCCCACTGGCTTGGGAGGCTGAGGCAGGAGGATTGTGAGTTTCGGCAACGGAGCAAGGCCCTGAGCAACTCCGTGAGACTCTGTCTCTAAATAAATTTTTTTTTTTTAAAGGGCTGGGGATGTGGCTCAGTGGTTAAGCACCTCTGGGCTCAATCCCAAGTACCAGAAACAAAAACAAAAAAATACACCCGTGTCTATTATTTTCTCAAACAGGATAAGGGTCAATAACCCAGGGTCCCGAAAAGGTCCTAACTTGGCCACCAAATAGCTCTATGATCTTCGTGGAGCAGAATTTTTCATCCTTGGTATCTCGGTGTTTTGGGGACGGGAAAAGCAAACACTATAGGCACCTTCCAATTCCAATTTGAAGATTATAAATTACCCATCATCTCTGCCTCCGGTTGAACTACCACAAATTCCCAGTGAATGGAGTTTGGATCACTGAGAAACAGAAAGTTCAAAACACTAAGAGCCCTCTCAGGTCTCTTGGTGTTTGCACCTGACCTGGTCTGGCAAGGGCTGTGCAGATACTGATGTCACTAGAGGGCAAGTCATAGCCGCTGCCCACAAACACTTGGCTTTTCCAAACGTTCAAGATGACACGAGAAGTAGGGTCAGCAAGAGCTTTGAGTGTCAAACTACTCCTTATCAGAAAATTTACTCCCAATTAGGCGACAGGTCCCTTTAACCATACTGGCCCCCAACCAAAAACCAGCATCCAAAGGGTCTCGTCAACAACCATGATGGGTGTAAGGGACACAGATGCTATGAATTCCCTCTCTGCAAACTCAGGACCCAGAAATGTGGGATCCCTGTCCACGGGTGCCGCACAGCAAGGAATAACATGTCCTTTAGCTCCCCGCCTGCCCCAGACACTCACACACACACACACACACACACACACACACACAAAGTCTGCAGTAGCTCCTAGGGAAACCCTGCTCTCGCCCACCTTCTCCAAAGCACTAAATATATGGAGGGTCACCTCAGGGCCTCCCCTTCTCCTCCTACCCAGAGAGGAAGGACAAGCCCGGAGTGGGACCACGGCCCTTTCTGCACAGGCTGTCCTTGGTCTTTGCAATCCTCCTTGTCCCATCAGAAACCTCAGAGCTCACACACTTCAGCTGGCTTAACTCTACACTAACAACCTCTTCATCGCTGGGTTTCCTAAAGGAAATCCAAGGAATCGGGGGGTGCAGATCCACCCACTACGGCCCGAGTGCCGCAGAGCACCGTTCCACGGGGACCCGGGACGGGGCGCCTCTACCCCATTCCTGTCGGTTGGAAAGCTGTTGCTTTTATTTTTAATTTTATTTTAAAAGGCGGATCCAGGGTACCCAAGACACCACAATAAAATGACATTAACTGTAAAATTACATTATTAATTCTTTAATCTCACTTGAGGCTTCAAGCTGTTGCTATGCCCAATTATCCGTGTAACCACCTGTCAGAATCCCGGCGCTATTTAGCATTACCTCCAGGACAGCGGTGGGCCCGGTGGTCCGTCAGGTCTGCCAGAGACTCGAAGTCCTGCTGACAGTGATCGCAGGTGTAAATTGACTCATCCTCCATGTCTTCATCGTCCTCATTTCTCTCCTCTTGACTTGTCACGCTGTTCCTGTCTTCCAGCGCCCGGCTGGTTTTCCGATCACTCTCCGGCTCTCCTTCTAGGCCTCCTGCCAACAGGAAGAATACAGTCCATGTCAGCTGACGGGGTCTGGGGAAAGGGTTTTAAAAGAATTGCCCGGCATTTATTAAGATACATTTAATTACTCTACCTCCCGGGGTCCATTATTCTTGACACCTCTCAGTATATTAATATATGGGGGTTTTTTTGTAGCATGTGGTGCCATAATTCTCGACTAGATTCTTTAATTCATGGCACAAATCTTCTAGGGGGATTACTTGTCATCTTTCCTCCGTGCCTGGCTGCTGGGGGTCATGACCCCTCAGGGAGGTGAAAACACTGTAGCATTTGTCTCCTAAAAAACCAATTCTGTTACACGCCTCTGCAGAGCTCCCACCAGCTGCTCCTAGCACACCTCAACTTGTAGCTTCCCCCTACAAACCTTGCAGTTTAGAGCTGGGAGACCCCTAAGCCATGTTCTCCCTCCACACAAGGCGCCCAAGGTGGCCATGTTGGTTCAGCCCCTTGCAAAGATGTTCTGATTGTGGAATAAAAGAGGTGGGTGTGCTCAGGGGACCTTGCAGTCAGACTGCAAACTCAAACATGCCGAACCTCTCACTGGGGCCTGAGGGCTGCCTAGAGAGTGAGAGTCGGGGTGGGAATGGTTGGATTCATTTCTTTGAAATAAAATACCTACTGTGTGATTAGCCCTGCGCATGCGAGTGGCTCATCTGCAGAAAACAGTGATTTAATACCAGGCACGGTGGTGCACATCTGTAATCCCAGGGGCTCAGGAGGCTGAGGCAGGAGGATCATGAGTTCAAAGTCAGCCTCAGCAACTTAGTGAGGCCCTGAGCAACTCAGTGAGACCCTCTCTCTAAAATAAAATATAAAAAGGGGGGCTGGGATTGTGGCTCAGCCGTGGAGCACTCGCCTAGCACGGGCGGGACCTGGGTTCGATCCTCGGCACCACATAAAAATAAAGGCATTGTGTTGTGTCCTTCTACACCTAAATAATAAATAAATATTTTTTTTAAAAAATATATATATATATTTATAAAGGGGGCTGGGGATGTGGCTCAGTGGTTAAACACACTTGGTACCAAAAAACAAACAAAAAAAAAATGGTAAATATAACGTTCAGAACATATCAATAATCCCAATAAACCTCAGCAGAGTAAATCTGCCCATTAAAATACATTCACCCCTGGATTTGAAAATCGAAGAGTGTGTTGTCTCTTCCCACACTCATCCTGGAAAACAGACCCCAACACTAGCAGCACTGATTGAAATCAAAGAGATCTCTATTCTGTAGAAACATGTTTGTGCAAATCTCTATGCAAAACTGCATGCCCACCTGTGCGTGTGTGGTGTGTGGGGGCGACTCGTGTATGTCTGCACGCCCATCACGCCCATGACCTAACACACAACCTTTCAATGCCCGAGAGCAAGTCACCAAAGCAAAAAAGAAACAAAACCAAGAATGCATTCGATTCAAGGTGGAAACCACGGTCCTATAAATATTTCAATTTAGACACAAGATAATGTTATAAGGGCTCTATTTCTCCCGGCCGCGCAGAACACGTGCTTCCAAGCACCCGACATCGAGAACCTGCGAACACAAATCAGCTCATCGGAGAGCCAGCTGCCGCCTTCCGTGGCGGGGAACGGGGCAAGCCACGCGGCGGAGGCAGTAAAAATCAATGTTTCCATTTGTGGCCCATCAAAACATCTCTCTTCTTACCAATTAAGGGATGTACAATTTTTAGGTTCTTTTATTATTGGAACAAGCCAACTCCCAGCAATACAGAAATCCCATTAAAAGCCAGGCAACATATTTATCTCGGGGAATCTGATCTGCTGTGGCAGCAATGGCAAGAAATAGAAAGCTCGAGAAATGAGAAACATCATTTGGAGTCTTCGACATTATAAGTCATCACCCAACCATGGTTACGCAGTCAAGCGCCGTCCCTGAAAAATTCCTAGTTTACTGTCTCTTCCCTTAATAAAAAAAAAAAATCTGTAGAGAATTAAAAAAGAATCATAATTCCAGCTTTATCTACTTACACGGACTCTCCAGATAATAAGTTACATTCCACACCACGCTTGTGCTACTTTATTTAACACACAGTTTAATAGACATATTTAAATTACCCGCCCCCCCCCACCCTTTGCCATATTTACTCGGCAGCACTTTCTATAACAGCTCATCTAATCCACAACTGGAACCACAAACATTACAATGCATTTGATCTCTTTAAATCTGGTACATCCTGTTGACTCGGGAGTAGATAAATCAGAATGTCAACTCTCGGGTTTTTATAAGGCAAAAGCCCATAAAGTCGTCCAAGAGTATAAATCTGTTTTAAGGAACTGTCACCTCCCCTCCGGCTGGCTACTAATGGGAAGGCAGCGTGGCTGTGCAGACAAGGCCGGGAGAGGAGAGGGGGGCACAGGGGCAGAGGTGGAGCCCTGTGCGGGGCAGACAAAGGTCTGGCCCTCCACATCTGGGCTGGCTGAGGGTCGCAAGCCCAGCCAGCCTGACCCTCAGGAAGGTGGAGCCAGAGAGGGCCGAGTCAGCGGCCTGCATAAGGTTAGAGGCATCCTGACAACCCAGGGCTCGAGGCCCCTCTGCTGACTCCAAGAAAACAGGACCCGGAGAAGAGGAAGCCTTCCCCCCGGGGCAGGTTGGACTCTTGGCCAGGCACTCTTATGCCCAACAGTATTTGAACTTCATCAAAAGGAGAAAGAATAAATGGTGCTCTTTTTCCATTTGCAGATGAAACGCTGAGGCTCCGCAAGGTCACCCCAAACCATGCGAGGAATGGCACTTACACACACTATTGCTAATGACGCAGGACATCTGTCGCCTGCCGGGGACCCCCGCTCTCTGAGGCCCGGGAGGCAGGAGCTCCGAGAACAGGGAGCCCGGAAGGCAGCCGTCCAGGTGAGCACAGTCTCAGCGCTTGCCCAGGGAGACCTTGAGGACCACAGGACTGGACCTTCCATACTCCCCTCCCCAGCCCCGTCAGGACAGGTGGTCGTGCCTGTTCCACATCCACCCTGCCCAGCTGCTGAGGTCTCCCTGGCCACTGTCCTGAGCCTAAATGTGACCAAGCCAGCACCGAGGAGGCAGAGCCCAGAGGCACAGCAGCTGGCCCCGTCTAAATCCCCACCCTGAGCTCGTGGGGTCTCCAACACAGGGAGTGACTCCTGAGCTTCAGCTACCGTTGACCTGCTGGCCCCTCCAGGTACCCAGGGGCCCACGAAGCCAAGTCATCAGGCTGTAAAAGGTGGCCAGCTCATCTCCGCTCTGCTGAGGCCTTGGGCTGGGAAGGCCTTCCTGTCAGCAGGCTCGCTGGCCTGTCCTTTGGCCCTCCCCAGTCCTCCCGGGAACGGTCGACAGCAGAAGACTCATTCAGGGAAGGCCCTGGCTAAACAGATTTCCCATCAGAGCCCTCTCCCTCCAGGCCCATGTGCAGGGGACAGGAAACCACACCAGGGCGGAAAACACTGGCCGCCTCGTCCAGGAGACAAACCTCCCTACTCCCTGACCTCCAGCCCCACCCTGGACAACTCCCAGCATGGTGCTTTCCAACGGGCACCCCAAAACAGCCAGCCCCAGCCGCGCACTCCCTGCATCCCTGGCCCCCAGCCAAGCACGACCAGGCAGCCCTATGAGCTGTCACCATCATGTCTGTCCCCACTTTACAGGTGAGGTCAGAAGGAGGTGGCAGGGCAGGTTTCCAGTCCAGGTGTGTCCAACACTTAACCACACTGCCACACCGTCCCTCACAGCACACACCCGAGTGAGGGGGAAAAGCCAGGTGCTGGGGAATCTGTAAACCCCATCATAGTCACGGGGGCAGGGGCTGCCATGGCTGCTGAAGCCCCCAACAGCTCCCGCTGACCTCTCTGTCTTACCCCCGTCTGCACACCACTCAGACCCTCTTTCAATCGCTCCAACTGCTGAGGGCTGCACACTCCTGCTCCCTGCCAAGAAGGGTTCCTCCATTCTTCCCCCACCTGACTCGGACCCCCACAGCCCCGAGCTCCAGCGGCACTTAGGTTCTCTCTCCCCATCGGCCCCTTCCCATTGCAGTTGGTGCACGGGGCGCCGTGTCGACTTGTACGTCTGTGGGCTGATTGGCTTACTCTCACCGTGGCACTCTGGATTTTCTAGGGACGACCCTGAGATTTCCCATCCCACCTGTTCCTCTGCAGTGAACCCTTGCCTCTCATAAAGAAGAGGGTTCTCATTCACCTCCACAACTTCCTGCTGGGCTGGTCAGCCCGGTGACTCTCTGGACCAATGGAATGCAATGGAAGTGATGTTCAGGGTGTCGGAGGCAAGGTCAGAAGAAGGCTTGCAGCTTCCCCTGAGTCTCCTGGTCTCCTGAGACATTCCCCCGGGGAACCCAGCTACCAGACTAAAAGAAGCCCAAGCTACACGGACAGAGCACGTACAGGCGCTCCAGTTGGCAGTCCCAGATGGACTCCCAGCCTCCAGCACCGACTGTCAGCCACGGGAGTGCGCCATCTTGGACATCCAGCCCCGATGAGTATTCAGATGTCGGCAATCCCAATCACCGTGTGGCTGCCACTGGACAAGTAACACCAAGTAAGACCACCAACAGTACCAGTCAGCCAGGGGAAAAGTAAGAAACAGCAAGAAACGGTCACTTAGGACCACTGCGTTTGGAGGGGTTTGCCACACAGCAACAGCTGGCCAGAGCACTCCCCACCAAATCGCAAGCTCTGTGGGGGTAGAGATGCACCTGCTGTTGCTAAGTACCACCCCCAAACTGGGGCTCAGTAAATGGACTGGTTTCAGAGAAGTGAGTCTCAATATCCACACATACAGGAGCTAGAGGAAAGGTGGTGTTATGGCACTTTTGATTGTCAGATGGTAAGAATTAGGTGAACCATAGGAAGACGCCATCTTTTGAGGTCAAAAAAGTCAGGTCCTGGCCCTCTGCAATGGTTCAGCCTAACAGATGAGGAGGCTGTTCTGTCCCACCAGCTTCTTCCTGAGACCAGGAGAAAGAA